TGCTTTTTGCAACTAGCCTCATTCTTAATTCAGCATATGCACAAGAGACACATCAACTTAGAGATTAGCCAGACGAACAAGATCTGCATCAGATGATGGGCACGCAAGACCAACATTCACGCTGACCAAGTAACACATGGCAGCTCAGTGCTGTAGTATTAACAGAAGAAAGCTGCTAGAGATCTAGAGACTCCAGCACAATGGGAACATTGCTAATCAGAATGGCCATAATGACGTAACTCTGGTAGAAGAAAATAGTTTAACTGAACTAGACTATGCCCAATGACAGATGCACTGACAGAGTTTAGGGTGAAGATTGTGGCAAGACTATAGGCAGCTGCACAACTGCCACAACAACAGAAGAAGCTTGGAAGCCAAAAGGAAGCCTGGAAGAATGTTAGTTAGTGGGCTAACAGAGATCCAAAATGGTGTCCCAGTTGACACAACCAGGATGGACAATAAGCCCTACAAGAAAAGAGAAGCAGAGGCAAAGATCATAGAGCCTGTTCTCCAAAAGCTGGTTCAGGGTGTACTCCAGCTGCAAGAGAACAATGGTCAAAGGGCAAAGCCACCCTGACCTAACTAAGCAAAGCTGGTGATCAGATAAATCAGGTGCTTTCACATGAAGTCGTGGTGTTGGCAGCATCTGATAATCTAAAAAGGATGTTTTTCGGGTCAAAAGGATTTTCTTCCACAAAAAATGATCCCCATGAGTGCCACCTACTCTAGTCAGAGACACATCAGATGATGATAAATTGGTGATTAAAAATTGTTGTTGTTGGACTGCGTGATGGCCTTATCCCCGAGAAGCCATCCTGCAAAAGGAGGAACCAGTTAGAAGCTATTTTCAAAATAGCCGAGCAGATTTAATCTCAAATTTAATCTATTTAATCTATGAGTCTGTGGTGGCCAGTGCGATCCTCTATGCTGTTGCATGCTGGGGGAGCAGGCTGAGGGCCGCAGATGCCAACAGACTTAATAAACTGATCCGTAAGGCCAGCAATGTTGTGGGGATGGAGCTGGACTCCCTCAAGGTGGTGTCGGAGAGGCGGATGCTGTCCAAGATAAAGACAATGTTGGATAACACCTCCCACCCACTCCATGACATGTTGGTCAGTCACAGGAGCTCGTTCAGTGAGAGACTGAGATTACCGAAAAGCACCACTGAACGACACAGGAAATCATTCCTGCCTGTGGCCATCTCCCTGTACAACGCATCCACTTAACACACTGTTTTCTGCTACAACTACACATGTTTCTTTTCCAACTATTTATTTATAAGTGACTTATGTATGTATGTATGTATATATATGTATATATTGTACTATTCTTAGTTAGCGTATTGTCTGTCTTGTCTTAATGTTGGTTTAAAATGGAGCACTGTAACAAAAAACAATTTCCCCCAGGGATCAATAAAGTATTCTGATTCTGATTCTGATTCTGATCTGTTTGTCCATGGCTGGCCGTCTTTACTCTCGTTACTCAACTTCTGGAGATGCACACATGCTTCTTAGCAGGGCGAAGCTATGAGCTAGCTGTGTCTAGCAGCAGGATTTTTTTTCCTTTTTTTCCTTTTTCTTTTATTGCAGCTTTCCTGTACTGTCTCTCTATCCCGGCAGCACCACTGCTGGAATTGTGGAGGGAAATGAATTCAATCAGTATCTTTGGCTAATTCTTAGTAAATAAGGAATCATATGCTTTTCCACTACCAAGAACTACAGAAGCCAACCACCTACCAGGATTTGACCAATCATTGTTATGGCTACCAAGGTTCTGCTTGACTTGCATCAATACTGTAATTAAATCTGTCAAAGGTTAGTGTTAAAAACACTGAAGTATTGATATGACGGGCAAGAAAATTGCGGTGGTACCGAGCTAATCATACTGAAGGCTAATCAACATTTATGTCACTCAAAAAGTTAGAGCCAAGGAAGTGAGTATAGCAATGAAATGTGTGCCGTTAGGGCCATTAGTATAGTTAATTTCTGCTAACACATTATTAGAAAACAGTATAGCAGAGAAGCACATTTCACTTACATGAAAAGAAGTACACACAGACTTCAGTTTTCTTTAATCTATTTTAGTTTGGTAAAATAGGAGTTAAGGATACAGGGGTAAAATACAGGGATACAAAGCCTTTATTGCCACATGGTTAAATTCTTTATCCATTAGTTCCATATCTATTAGGTACACTAAAAACTACAAAAATTAAAGAATAAAAGGGAAATATGAAAAAGGAAACAGAAATGACCTGAAACAAACGTGTACAGACTGAAAAAACATTTGTAAGATAGATGTATAGAAAAAAAGACTGATTTCCCACATATATTAATGCATGGATCTATCCATGGATCTTATATATAGTACATAGACTACAAGCATGAGATTTGTGGCAATATAGTATAGTGTAAAGTATTCTTTCTATGAATGACTGAGCAAGCGGTTACTGTCCCCCCTTTTTTCCAATAGACCAGTTGAATGAAGGGAGAAAGGAATAAAATCTTTGTGCATGTTCTCCAGTGGCGCAATCGGTTAGCGTGCGGTACTTATATAACAGTATTGGGCTGTGAGTTCAAGCCTCACCTGGAGCATAAACTTTGAGCTCATACTTCTCTGATGAGAACAGATAAATGCTGAGCTCACTGAAAATGCAAACAGACTTTATAGCATCTTCAAAAACAAGCAACATTCAAATAGATATTAAGAAACGCAGAATTATACCTCTCTTTGTTTGTTCTGCTTCTTTTTTGTCGACCAATGTGAGCTATTAACCATCAAGATATAGTTTTTCCTTCAAAGTCAGATTTTTGGCTGTATGTGTGTGTGTACCTTTTTTGTCCTCACACCGCAGGGCGTAAGGCAAATCACTGGTTCGCCAAGTTGGGCAACAATCACCATGAGAAAATGATGTGTGTGAAACTAAGATGATTATGATTAAATGAAGTAAATATTAATCTTGTGTTTAAACTGGGCTGAAGGTTTTTTTTTTTTCTTTTTCTGTGTCCCGTTTGGATCTTTAGCATCAGAATTGTTGTCTTAAGGCCAAGAAAGATGCCAAGCGGATTTATTTTACCAAGTGGATCATCATGGCCTTGCCATATTGGTCCATTTGATTGACCTTTATTATAATTATGAATTTATTTTATTTTCGGTTGCTACAAACGGGACAGACAGGGAGAAAGAATGAAAGAAAGAGAGGGAGAGAAAGAAAACCAAAGGGGAGAAGAGACGGTGAGAAGGGGGGAAGAAAGAAAAACAAAACAAAAAAACACCTGGGTCACCTGTATGGAGAAAAAAAACAGAAGAGAAAGCAAACAAAAAAAAAAGCAAAATAATAAATACAGCGCCATCACAATAAACTAGCTAGCAGTAGATATCAGTAGATACTAAATATTAAACGATATTGTGCAACACGCAAGATAGACAGCGCACAGTGTGCTTTGAGGCAGCAGCCAAGAAAGCTGTAGTCCGCGTCCGTGAATACCCGTGTGTACACCTGTGTGGATCAGCATGCTTGCATTCCAAAGGTTTCTCCATGTAAGGATCTGCTAGGGAGTGTGGGGGAGCCACAGCCCAGTCCTCCAGGGTATGAAGCAGGTATGGAGGAGATCCAGGCCCCAGATATCCAGAGGCCCCAGAGTACAAGGACCCGAGGAGGCCTCCGTACTTTGGAGGGCCTGAGATGTACCCAGAGAGGTCGAGTCTAAGACCCCACCTGACATATAGACACAGACGAACAGGCGCACGCAGACACAGACGTGCATTCCCACCCCATATGCACAACCAAATACTCGGCACTCACCCAACGTGTAGACAGACACAAATAGACACTGCACACACATTCACACTCCCCAAACATACTCTATATCCCAGGTCCAGGTACCCCCGCCCTCAGAGGGGCAAGCTGCACCTAGACCCAGGAGATGTAACCCTTCTCTCTGGGGTGGAGGCAAGCGGACCACCTCCTTATCTGCAGTAGCAGGGAGGCCCCGCATCCCAGACCCCAATCTGACGGCCAGCACCTCCTCCCAGCCCCCCAGCCCTGACGGCTAACACGAAGCGAAGACCCCAAACCTCCCTCCGCACGCTCATATGTTGTGTTGCTGTGTGCTGTTCTAAAGTGCATTTAAAACACAGGAGAGCATGGTACTAGCTTCCTCTCAGAGAGCAGCACGGCTCCTCCCGAAAACCCTCAGTGTCTAAATGCATTTAAAATTGAGGGTAGGGCACCAGCACCAGAGGTGGGTTGGAGTACACCGACCATCCTCTGGATGCTGTAAAACGTGCCCACCCCCAAGGCCCTATATGTATGTGTTATGTGAGAGTGTGAGTAATGTGGATGTCTAGGTTGCAGAATAAAATAGCAGCAGTATTTTTAAAGTGAAGTTGTTAATCCAACGGTTAATCCAAAAAGTTAATCCCTGAGCGAACAGGAAATGGATTTTGAAATGCAGTTTATTAAAGTGGAATTCAAAAATGAATTTACAAATGGAGAATTTATTCTTCAATTCATTATTTCAGCACAGAATTCTTTATTTCGATGCACGTGGCTCTTGTGGTCCTCCATAGGTATTAGGTAATAGTTCACTTGGGAAAGTAGTTTCATTTCATGTCGTTGTTTAATGCGCCTTGAGGCAACTGCTGTTGTGATTTGGCGCGTTATATAAATGAAACTGAATTGAACTGAATTTCTTATTGAGTCTAAAGTATTTAACTTTCTGGCTTTCAGGATTATGCCTACACAAACTAAACGTGTATGTGGGAATTTTCTGTTATTCTGGATGTAAGTTGCATCATTTTTGTGTCATACTTTGTTTCTCACATCCAATCAATATTTTAACCGAAAGCATATTTCAGTTAAATGATTACAGAAAATAATCTGTCGAATCTGTGAAAAATATTCCTCCTGGCTGTGAACGCCACATAAAGATCGTCCCTCATGCCCTCTGGTACTTGTAGTTTTTCAAACATGTTTTTCGGTCTACAACTCGTTCATACAACTACACTTCCCATAATGCACGTGGGTGAAGCTGTCTGACAGACGGTGAGTGTGTCGAACATTTACTTGTTTTGAAAGTGCCTTTAGCACTAGCTCACTAGCTCCTGTCGGCATGTCTCTGTTATCTTGTTGTTTTTTCTTAACTGTAAACGTGCCCGTGATTTTTAACAAAATCTTTACTGAACAATAACCGGTCAAGACCCGGTACGCGATTTCCTGTGCTCCACGTGACAATGTATACCGCAAACATCCGCGAGATTAACAGTCCCTTTAAATTAGCCAGCCTGGCTAGCTGAAGGCTCGTGTTTGAAAGTAAAATAATGAGTCAGCGAGCGCGATACTGACACGCAGATATCCACTGAAAACTGCGTGTGGTCAGCTGACCCGTCCTTCCCATGTGCTGCTCACAACGTTTTACAGAAATATGCCCCCCCTCCACACCTCAGTGTCTAAGGGTTGGTTGTGCTGTGGGAGCTGTTACCTGTCATGGTTAAAGTTTACCTGTCACTGAAGATAAAAGGCTGCTCACGTTTACGTGTGATAAACCATCGGACCTGCCCCATTCATAGGACACAAGGGAAGGGTTAAGCCATTGATTTTACAGTCATGAAATCGTGTGCCATCCCTACAGTGACTTGGGGATTCAGTGCTAAGGAAAAAAGAAACTGGGATGGCCCAACAACTTACTGCCATGCTTGATATTATTTACATTTCACCTTTCATTTAATGTATTGCATTCATTTAGAGTATGTTTGTCCCTTGTTGAAGCCATTGTGTCGTACTTATTGGGCTTTTTAGTTATGGCAGCTTAAATATTTAGGGCATGAGAACTGTAAAGGCCCCTTTTTTATCTGCTCTGATAAGGGTCCACAATAATAGTGTAATAGAAACAATAATAATAGTAATGTTTGATGATGGTCATAGTGGCAACAGGAAAGGTCATATTTCACACTTAAACCGTAATGCTTACTGCTGTGTCGTATTTGACAAAAAAAATTTTTGGGTGAGTTTTCAAGGCTGTTACATCATCAGTGTGATTTTTTCCTCTCAAAAACCAAATACAAAATTGCACAATACATCTTTAAGCAAATCTAAAAAAAAAAAAAGTCAGATGTAGCAAATGTGATACAAATTATAAATCATGTACAGAAATGAAAATAAATAAAATCTTTTTTTTAAACAAATTTATCAGATGGTTCAATAAACTTTAATTTTCTAGCAAATATTTCTTATTTCAGGCTTTAAGGCACAGCTTCAAGGTGAATGAACAAAGTAATCTAACATGTAGTCAGAAAACCCTGGTCTAATTTTACCTATACAACTGTGTGTTGTCATTAAATGGCTCTGAAAGCATGATGAATTTCGATGTTAGTCCATAAAGCACCGGAGGCTTGTTACGCATTGTTCAGTCTGCCCCAAACTTCATGTTTCACTGAAGTCCCAACCTGAGCGCATCTTTATGCCAGTAGTCAGGGATAGTTTGAGCTCGACCTAGTGAGAACTAAATAATTTAACGTTTTATTAGTTATTTTGATGGACTTCTTCTTATTCACCTCATGTGGTTAAAATAAACGTTAGCTGCAACGTGATGAAGGCTGTTTTATGGGCTTTACTACTGAGTGTGGCAGTGTGCCACCTACCAGCATTCAATGAAGCTGCTCCAGCACTACATGTCTGAAATTCAGCACCCTTATGGGTAATATAGAATTACCGGTTAACCTAAATAACCTGCTTATGCAAAAGTCAATTAAAGTTTAATCTAAATTATTGCAAGAAAACCCGAAACTGCATCTTGCTCTGCTATCAGCATAATCCAGCTGCAGCATATCTCAAGGTACCCCAGGTTGTAAGGGCCCTATCATTGCTTTTTGCAGCTTTAATTTCTAGATATGGCTCTGGCAACCTGGAAACTCAGACCTCTGCTGTGCTGGTAGTAATTTCTGTACTTATGTCTGCAATGATGGAGGTAACAGTGGGACCTCACACAAAAATGATTTTTTGAGTTTATATTTTTAGATTCGTTTTTTAAGTGATGTTGTAATTGTAATCCACAATTACACACACACGACTCATTCCATGGGGGGGGGAATGTTCCATTACTTAATTATAACAATAATAATACTACATTTAATGAATTGCTGAAAAATAATCAGTATTGGTTCAGAAACAACAGATCAACAACTATGCATTGATAGACTTAATGGAAGAGATAACAGAATGTATGGATAATAAGAGGTACGCACAGGATACTGTTAATCATGAAATTCTATTATAAAAACTGGAAAGGTACGGGTTTAGGGGAGTGGTTTTGGACTGGTTAAAAAGCTGTTTAGGGAATAGGCAACAATATGTACAAATAGATGAATATAAATCTAATATGATGCATATTGCTTGTGGAGTACATCGTTTATTATGTACATAGTCTGTGCAGAGTCTCGCAGAATTTAAAGTTTGTAATATTTGCAGATGACACAATTGTACTGTTTTCAGATGTGGAATTGCCACAAGTTTTGGAGATGATCACACAGGAATTAACAATGTTAAAGAAGTGGTTTGATATAAATAAATTATCATTGAATCTAGATAAAACCAAATTGATGTTGTTTGGAAACCAAAAGAAGAATATCAAAGTAGAAATATGTGTTGACAATGTTTGTTTAGTAAGAGTAAATGAAATACAATTTCTTGGTGTGATCATTGACCACAAGGTCTGTTGGAAACCACATATTACTTATGTTCGAGGGAGATTGGCACGGGGCATTGCTGTCCTGGGGAAAGCAAAGCAAATATTGGATCAGAAAGCCCTGCATATATTATACTGTGCTTTACTACTGCTGTATACGAGCTACTGTGTAGAGGTCTGGGGAAACAGGGTACAGGGATCATACAAATGGACTATTTTTCAAAATGCAAGCTATTAAATTCCAGGACTTGGTGGAGTTTAAAACAGCGCAAATAATATATAAAGTAAAACAAATAAAACGCTTCCAAAAGAAATCTGTAAATGGTTTATAGAAAGAGAAGGTGGGTATAACTTAAGAGGGAAATGGAATTTAAAAATACAAAGTAATTAGAACAACTTTAAAAAGTATGTTTCTCTGTAGCAGGAGTTCAACTATGGAACAGTTTAACAGAAGAAATGAAAGAAAGTAACAACATAAACCAGTTTAAAATGAAATATAAAAAACACACTCTTAGCAAATATAAGAATGAAGAACACAGGGTTAACCCAGGACAGTAATGTTGCTCGTAATAGTCTTTTAGTTTGTTTGTCTCATTGTGAATCTGCAAATGTTACCATTCAGTCCTTATTTATATGAAAGTAACTATACTGTGGTGGGGCTTCTTTATTTGTTTTGTTTTGTCTTTGCTTTACTTTTGCTTCATATGTTGTTTGTTTAATTTAAGGCTAAAAGAAAATTAAATCAATGAGAGGTAAAACTTGAGGGGGTGGGGACTAATAAGTATACTTCTGCCTACTCCTTTCCAAACAAAAGAATAGAATGATATTTTGTAATGACTGTGAAGGCACATGTTTGAAAAAAAAATGAACTGAACTAATTTGTGATACCATTCCTTACATTACTTTTGAGCTACTGTGTAACATGAGCTAACATACATTATCAAATAATTACCTCCAAACAACAGAAACCACATCGCCTCCCAAATGAGGACACATGCCTTTTAGTGTTTACTGAATTTAATACAGTAGTGTGTTACATGTTACAAAAATTGAAAGTTTATTATGGTAACTTTGTAATGCAATAAATATGAGTTAAACCCAACATTGGCTGCAAATACATGTTTTCAAAAAGTGGTAATGATGTGTATGCATCTCAAGATAAGGGGCGTTTTAAAGTTGCTTTTTTGAACAAGAGGCACTTAGAGATGGACATGAAGTACCTCACTGTGCCAGCCGTACAGTGAGGATGATGTGGCCACTGCATTTGCATGTGCCTGTATTACTTTTGCATTGTTTTCTGATTGTATGGAAGGACTTTTAACATTCTCATCTCTTTAACATCTAAACACGATTTTGGTACTAGTTTACTGATATTAAATGCTAAAATTTGATATGTCAAAGCAAAATACTATTCCTCCAAAAGGAAAACCTGTCCATGCCTTCATCACCTCTAGATTGGACTACTGCTGTTCTCTGAACATTCCTCTGTTCGTCGCTTGTAGTTGGTCCAAAGCACTGCTGCATGTCCTGTAACAGGTATTAGATGGCGTGATCATATCACTCCAGTTTTAGCAAGTTTACACTGGCTCTTTGTCTATTTTCATATTGATTTTAAGAGTTTTCTTTTACTTGCATAGTTTAAAATGTTATGGCAATCAGCTGCATGAATTTATATAACAAAACTTACACCATCGATCTAAATGCTCTTGCATGCAGCCAAGGTCTTAATTAAAGCATGGATGGATTTCTTAGTTGCATTGTCTGGATTAACCTCCCACTTGATATTCATACTGCAGAGTGTATACAGTCTTTAAAATCCTATCTTAAAATTCTCTTATTTACCTCGACTTTTAATTCAAGTTCAGTTTGAGCCTCATCAGGTTTTACGTTATCTTTTTTATTAGTTGATCTATGTCCCCCCCTTTGCTTTTTAATGTTCTGTAGACAAAACTGACATTGACATGCACAGACAGCTTTTTCTGAGTTGTACCTACTGCCAGTCCAGAGGGAGTGCAAGAAAGAAGGAGCGCATAGAGCAGAAAAGTAGTTCCCTTTGCCTTATGGTACTTTAACTTTATTCCATTTCTGTGACAATAATTTACCAAAAATTGTTGGCTCTGTAAAGCTGCTGGCACGATGTCAGTCTTATTGTCAGCAGATGTTAACATTAGGCCACATTTTATAGTAATCAATACGCAAATTTTGGAAATGTCAAAGAGTTGAATTTCTTGAAACCTTGTATGATGGATCCACATGTCACACTGACCTGGAGTTTGTCAGGTGATATGGTGCTGTATGAATAGTCCCCCCCCCAATTTCAAAATAAGATCATTTATCACCTGATAGTGTTATGATTATGAAC